ATTGGTCAGGGAAGAGCTAGAAAAGGCGCAAATCAGGTCAAGGCAATACTAAGAAGAGAAGCTCACTTCAGGGACAGTTTCAGAAGCAGGGCAGGTAGCCAAGACAGGTGAAAACCACACTGCTGTTAGGCCTATTAGTTCATACTGTAACTATTATTGTTTAAATTTTAAAAATTATCTTTAGTTGTACGAAGGAGTTTCACTTCAACATGTCAGTTTTATTATGGTACAGGTCTATCATCTGACCATTAGGATTCTATTTCCCACAACATAACTAAGGAAATTACTATCTTTTGTCTGACCAGTGTTGTTCAAATTAAGAATGGCATTTTCTCCAAAAAAAATAGAGAGAGAGAGAAAGGAAAGGGAGAGGGAGAGAGAGGATATGAAGTTCATGTGATTGAACCCCAATATCTTCAGACTTACTTCTCAGGAGGTAGAGATGCAGTTCTTCAGAGGTAAACAAGCTAAAGCCCCAGGGCACTGGCCCAGGCAGGATATTTGTGTGCTCTGGAATGTTTGAGAGCCATTTCCTTACTGGGGCTGTCCTGGAACTGCACATGGAAGCAGAGCTCTGAAACTCACTGAAGTGATCAACAGCAGGAGATTCCCAAGGGGTCCAGCATCACAGCAGGTGTGACCCGACCCCTGGTCTCCCCATACTGGCCTCAGATAGGTCACCTGACCCCAAAGAAGCAGTGTTTATATTGGACACAAATCCTGGCAAAACTCGCTTGTGTGACATGTTTTCCTGGCAGGTCATTATTGCCTAACAGGAGTATTTCCCTTTTTCTTAGTCCCGCCCCCCTTACTCCTTCCATTCCCCCCAGATCCGAAACCAGCAGGTGATATGGAGCTGTGTCTGGCCTGAGCAAAGGCTAGCTACCAGGTCTCCAATCAACTACCCAAAATACCCCTTCAGTTCAGCAGAGTAATAAGAACTGATTACATTTCCTGTTCAGCGTTGAGGATGCAAGAGCCACTTCCGCCCACTACTAGAATTTTAACATATTAGTGCATGAAAGAAGAGGCATGAGGATGTTGACTGTAGCATTTTTATGAAACTACATCCTGCTACTTCCCAAGCTACTCAGGAGGCTCAGATCTGAGGACTGGGGTTTGAAGCCAGCCCAAGCAGGAAAGTCTATGAAACGCTTATCTTTGAGTAACCACCAAAAAGCTGGAAGTGGAACTGTGACTCAAGTAATAGAACACTAGCCTTGAGCAAAAAAGCTCAGGGACATTGCCCAGGCCTAGAGATCAAGCTCCAGTATTGGCATGCACACACACACACACACACACACACACTCATGCATGCTCACAAGCAGACCTAAATCTAACACGCCAGTTTGATCCCACTTCCTCAAAGTTGTTCTTTAATCAGGGTGAAGACAGGTCATTAAATGTCTGTAATTCTGATCTTTATCGTATTGAAGATTGGCAACCCATTACTTCCCAACCCCCTTCCACCCCCCGCAGGTTGTTCATACCATCCTTAAACTCTCAGTAGCTTTGTGTGTGTGCCAGTACTGGGGCTTGAACTCAAAGCCTTCTACTGTTGGCTTTTTCCACTCAAGGCTAGTGCTCTACCACATAAGTCACATCTCTACTCCAGCTTTTTGCTGGTTAATTAGACTGGTTAATTTTGCTGGTTAATTTGACTCCTGGGCTGGCTTTGAACTAGCAGTGCTGGTTTCCAGGTGACTTTGATGAAGGTCAAGACCTTGGGATTCCACCCCAAGGCTCTGAGCACAGCTCTGTGTTAACAACTGGATACAATTAACATCGAAAGCACGGATTGTTCCTCAGATCTTTCCTGTGTGTCCAGTTTGTGTTAGGTACTTCTTCTCCCTCCTTGGGAAGTTAAGGAAACAGAGGCACGGAGAGGCTAAGACATTCTCCCAGACTTCCTAGCCCGCAAGAGGCGGAGATGGAGCAGCGCCTCCCAGGCGTCTGTTGTGGGGGCCTCGATTTTAATCATGAACAACTGTGGTCCAATTGCTCCTTGACGGGCAGAGGGCATAGACAGAGAGGTCTTCAGGAATGCTGGGAAGGAAGGAAGCTGTCTGTTTTGGAAGACTCTGAGCCAGTCTGTATTTGTGGGGTCTGTGACATCCTCTTTTGTTCATTGAGAACTTTCTAGAAGAATTGTTTAGTAGAACTGTAAAGGCCTCTAGAGATCAAAGGCAGGCACCCAGAGCACCTTTAGAACCTGCATGCCATCCGTCCCTGACTCAGGAGGAATGTGACTTACTGAACCATCTGCCATTTCCTGAGGCAGCGGCGCCTCCGACTCCCCGTCAGAAGCACACAGTGCTGCCCCCAGAGAGTGGCATTCCCTCCTCCCACTCCCCCTGCCTGCCCAGCACCGGCCTGGGGTGAGCACGTGTGCCCTGACCTTCCGTCAAAGCTGAAATGTGTGGCCTCCCAAGTTTGTGAGGTGAATGACACTGTTCACGGTTCTGGAGCTGCTGCTCTTAATACCGTTGATGTCATCACTGTGATACATATCAGAATCACTTTCCATTACTGACAGTGGTTTCAATTCCTTGAAAGACACCCTCTTAAGCAGCTGGAGAGGAAGTCAGGTAAGGGAGGGAGTCAGAACACAGAGAAGCTTCTGGTCATATCCATCTGCAGCTTTGCTGGCAGTAAGATGGGTGACAATGACAATGTAGTTGCACTAAGGATCAGTGAACAAAAGCTAAACACAGGCCCCTCGATAAGGACAATTATATCCAGTCCACACGATATAATTATCCAGTCCACACTGGATATAATTGTCCACACGTAGACATGAACCCGAAACCCATTGATTTCCAATGTTCAAAAGGTTTAAAAATGAAAACGTGAAGCCGGGCGCCAGTGGCTCATGCCTATAATCCTAGCTACTCAGGAGGCTGAGATCTGAGGATCACACTTCAAAGCCAGCCTGGACAGGAAAACCTGTGATACTCTTGTCTCCAATAAACCACTCAGAAAACCAGAAGTGGTGCTGTGGCTCAAGTGGTAGAGCGCTAGCCTTGAGCTGAAGCGCTGAGGGACAGCACCCAGGCCCAGAGTTCAAGCCCCAGGACAAAAAAAGTGTGTGAGCCGTCACACAGCCCCTCTCTAGTAAACATAAAGAGACCTAAGCCACTGTTATGTGTGCTGGCCAGCAGCCTCCTTCTTTTGTCCCCCTGGAAAAAAACCTTCAAGCCTGGAAAGACATTTCTGATCTCCATTTTGCAGTTGCTTATCTCCAGGCTGTCTCTGATTTTGCCCCAGATTGGTAAAATATTTCCCCCTTGGTGCTTAGGGTGTGCCTTTGATTGAGTACAAGTAGGAAACTCTTGTAAGTCTTCTAGAAAGGGAAGCTATAAAATCACCATGGGTCTTTGAAAAAAACAGAGAGCTTACCATAAACTTAGGACCTGGGCATTCACTACCAGCCCAGCCCAGGTCCAGTCCTCAGCTCCCTAGCTTCTGAGCAGCTTGCTCCCCCTGACCGGTGAGGGTGCACATATGCACACTACTCTAGCACACTACTGCTGATACTTAGTAAGTGTCTCATCGCGGCGGTGGATTCTTCTGTGGCTCCATCTAATGTTAATGGTGTCTGGATCCAGTGAGGGGAAAAGTGTGTGTGTGTGTGTGTGTGTGTGTGTGTGTGTGTGTGTTCTGAGGCCAGAACTCAGCAATTTCAAACTTAGTGTAGTAGCTGATCTGAGCCTGGAAGGTTGATGAGGACCACACAATTGCTGGAGGAAATGCAGGGACAGGGGCTGGCATGTGTTCCAGGCCTAGGAGGTTGATTCAAGTGGTAGAGTGCCAGTGTGGAGTGAAAGAGCTAAGGGACAGCACCCAGGCTTTGAGTTCAAGCCCTAGTACTGGCTGTGTGTGTGTGTGTGTGTGTGTGTAGTTATTACAGTCTTAGGCCCCCAGACCTATAGAACTTCATGTCAGCAAAGCTCCATGAGGGGAGGTAGAGGAGTGTGGACAGTTCCTTCTTTGGCCACTTTGGGGGATTCACTTTATGACCATACCAACTTGGTGCATCCTCTGAACGGGGGAAGAGTCTGGAAGGGTCCTTGCCCTCCAGGTAACTGAGAAGCTCTTGGAAGCCAAGCATGGAAGATACTGATGTATACCACAGAAAAGAAGAGAAAGCAATTCTTATGTCAAATGAATGAGCAATTAAAGAAAATAAATCCAAGAATGGCTAGAAATAAGAAGGCTGGCTGGCACTGGGAGAAGGAAGGCACGCTGGCTGGGGCCGGGCAATGCAGGGAGCCGGGCTGGGCCAGCCAAGGCCTTCCGAATCACCGTGCTTAGCAAACAGCACGCCCTGGCACCTTTTCTTTTCCAGTAGCTCACAGCTGCCCACTTTTTTTCATCCTTTTTCTCTTTGAGACAAAGAAAGTTTTGAAATACAAAGTCATCTCATCTTCTTCTCTGGGCTGTTGTGTTTTCTTTTCAAGGAGCAGAGGTAATAAGTGCATTGTGGAACAGGGGAGAGTTGCAAAATTGGGCAAAGATCAATAGGACTTTGGTAAGCTCCTGTCTGAGGGATGCTGCACTCTCTTTCTATAAAGGACATCTGTGGAATTGGTTAGGGGGAAAATGCTGATGGGCTCAATAAACAGCAACTTTGAAGGCAGTATCTAAAGCCAATTGTTTAATGTTTGCTAAATCGACGTGGAGAATATAGTACAACTTCAAATAGGACATTGTTAACTCAGTGTTTAGAAGTTTGTTTTCCTTGAATCAAACTTGCCCTAAATAGGTATTTTTTTAAGTATATCTACTCCAAAAATATTTTGCAAAGTGATTGCGATGATAAATTCTATTTCATGTGTATTTGTTTTATACACACACACACACACACACAGAGCATGGACAATTGCCTTAGTCCATTTTATATTACTACAACAAAATATGAAAAGGTAGGTGCTTTACTTAAAAAAAAAAAGGTTTTCTTTGACAGAAAACAGCATGGTGCTAGCACCACAACATGACCGATGGTATCACATAGCCGAAGTGTGCCCAAGAGAAGCGAGCATCTAGTAAGTTTTGGGGTGGCCCACAGCCAGGGAAGAAGCACGAGACCCACGAGGGAGCAGGGACCACTCTCTCCTAGTAGCTTGCTGTCATGGAGGAGTCCACTCCTGTCAGTTCCAGCTCGCCCGGGCTCCTCGCAGACGATGAAAGCAAGCTCAAGTCCCAGATCTCCAGTCAGCACTGTCAGTACCTAAATTATGACCCGTGAGCAGGTCCAGGCCAAAAGAAATCTTCCCAAACAAAATAAGTGAAGACTTCAACAGATATTCCTGCAAAGAAAACACGCAGAGGGCAATATGTACGAAAACTTGCTAAACACCATGAGTCTTGACAGAAACACGAGTCAGAACCATAGTTGACAGACTTCACACCCATTGTGACCATGAAAAACAACAGTGGCAGAACCTAACACTTGTCGTTGAGGAGGTCAAGAAACTAGAACATGCACTGGAGGTAAAAATGCCATAGGAAACAATGTTGGAACTGAAATATGCCCATGCCAGTATCCATTATAGTATGAGTCAAACAATCCTGTTTTATAACCAAAACATGGACACCGTGGAATACTATTCATAAAGATGAATGGAATTCTGGCCTATGCTACAATATGGAGGAACCTTGAAGATGTTACGCTGAGTGAAAGAAGCCAGACACCAAAGGACAAATGCTGTGTGATTCCACACGTCTGAGGAATGAAGATTTCTCCACCATCAGTATTGCTGCAGCACCAACATTTCCTACAGCATCTTTGCTCTCCATTCCTCCCATGAGATCTCTCTCTGTTCTTGTCCATCCGCCTTTACAATATAGATTATGGGTTGTGAAAAGGAAAAGACTGTCCCTTTCTCCCACAGCCACCTCACTGCCCTTCCTGGAAGGCCGGAAGTATCCTGCCTCTCCATCAGCACACACCTGGCTCCAGGCCTGACTCTGGGCCCTGCACCTTCCTGTGGCTTTCCGCATTGCTTTCTCCCCTCCAGCTGCCCAAGTGCTCTTCCTTCCACTTCTCCCTGTGGTGCCCTATCAGCCTGCCCTTCCTCCCCAGACCCAGCCTATCTGAGCTGAGAAAGATTGGGACACTAGGCTCAGGTGCCTGGGCTAAGCTCCTTATCCTGTGTAGGGCAACCTAGACTCAACCAAGGATTTAGTAGAACTTGGAATCTGCTCCCCAGCCTCGCCCCCAACCCCTACTAGAGGTCAAACCCAGGCCCACTGCTTACCAGAGACTCCTCATTCAGATAATCACTCTACAACCTGAGCTATGCCTCAAACCCTCCCTCCCTGTCATCTTTTGGATACAGGGTCTCATTGCATACTCCAGGCTGACCTCAAACTCACAACCTTCCTGGTTCAGCCTTCCAAGCACTGGGACTACAGTCACACAGTGCTGTGCCTGGCTGGAACTTGGATCTTTCCAGTGCTTGGACTGTTGTACACAGCTCTATCCACTACCTTGCTTTCCTCTTCAGTTCAAGGCCTATGGCCCCAATTTGGATCTTTCCAGTGCTTGGACTGTTGTGCACAGCTCTATCCACTACCTTGCTTTCCTCCTCAGTTCAAGGCCTATGGCCCCTTGTTAGTCAAAGCGTAGAGACGACAAGGACAGGTCTGGCTTTTAGTCTTGCTCCCAGCCAAAACTTCCAGTAGAATGGTGAAAGGGAGTGTGGTGAAAATGTCCTGGGTGCCGTGATGACATCAGAGCTGTTGAAAGAGGTGGACAATCTTTGGTGGTAAACTTCAGACTAGACCAAACTGTGTCTTCTACCCTCTCTTATGAGGAAAAATGTTCTCTGAGAAAAGGGTGACTGACTTGGGAAAAGGAAAGACTGGTCTTACTCTATGTTTTACAGTCAAGTCAACTGACTCCCAATCCCCTTTGGGGAGAGACCATATGTCTGTGTGTGTGTGTGTGTGTGTGTTGTATGTACATATATATGCATATATATATATATATATATATATATATATATATGTGGGGGAGGGGGAGCAGTTGCTACATATTTGTCATTTTCAATGGCCCCAGTAGAGTTGACCATATGGAATGAATGCCTTCAAGTTGAAGGTTTGCATGATCTATAATTGGACAGAAATTTGTTCACAAAAGGTATTTCAGAACCCCCACAATCCTTTAGTAGCAGGCTAGTAACAGTGTTTTTAAGGACCAGAATTCTCTTCAGAATGTCCACTTCATGCTGACCACAATGTAATCTCTAACTTCCTAACCCCCTCCGGCAAACACACATCTCTCTTCATGTTGAATTCACCACAAATACTAGAGCTTCACTTTGACTGTACTGGGCTTTTGAATGTCTGACCTCCCACTTGCCGGTGTTTGGACCACAATTCTTGCAGAAGGATTCTTGTTCAGGATATGCATCACAGTGTGTTTTTTAAATGAATGGCAAGCCTCTCTCTGCAGTGGCTCATTCCCTGTGCCTGGCTCTGTATAACCTTGGCTCTCTGGGTTTCCCACAAATTCTGTAGCTCACTGTCTCCCAGGTGGGATAAACTTACCCTCGGGGCTGTGCCAAGTGGCACATTGGGGAGCTGAGGCCATCCCAGATTTTCTCCCCTATTCCATTTTCCATTTCTAGCTTTAAGATTTTTCCCCCCTCATGGTATTGTGATTCAAACTTAGGACCTCTGTACTTGATAGATAGATCTCCCACCACTTGAGCACAACCCAGCTCTTAAGTTTTTGTTTGTTTGTTTTTCAGTCATGGGGCTTGAACTCCGGGCCTGGGTACCATCTCTGAGCTCTTTTGCTCGACTAGTGCTCTACCACTTTGAGCCACAGCTCCACTTCTGGTTTTTGAGTGGTTAATTGGAGATAAGAATCTCATGGAGTCTTTCTTGCCTGGGCTGGCTTCAAACTGGAATCCTCAGATCTCAGCCTCCTGAGTAGCTAGGATTACAGGTATGAGCCACCAGTGCCTAGCCATACAACCTAGCTCTTTTTGTTTGGATTGTTTTTTAGATAGAGTCTCACTTTGTCCAGGTCAGGCTAGACCACACCACTCTATTTATACTTCTCTTCCTAGCTGGAATGAGAGACACCACACACCACCGTACCCAGTTTCTTCCATGGAGATGACATCTCATGAACTTTTGGCTGAGGCTGGCCTAGAACTGTGATTCTCCCATTCTCTGCCTCCTAGTAGCTAGGATTACAGGCATGAGCCAGTGTGTCTGGTTGTATTTTTAATTTATAACATACATTTCCTCATGTGTCTATGTAGTGTTGCTCTGAAGCATGAAATGGAGTTTGGATTTGTACAAAACACTTGTTTCTATGTCCTCTAAATTTTATAAAATTGCAATTCTGGCTGTATTTTGTTTAAAATGAGAGTGTCTAGATGGGCATTCGGCCTAATTAACAGAAGTCACTGATAGATACAATCTAGAGCTGCTTCAGCTGCAGACATTGTGAGTAACCTATCTGCCCACACCCAGGCGTGGCTCATCTAACCAGCTGAAGCCCAGATGGAAAACCACAGAATGACTCGGACCACTTAGGAAGAAAGGATCGCAGAAGCACTTGTTACTGTCCCAGTTCCACAAGAGACTACCTCTTGGTTGAAACTGGGCTTGCTTTTCAAAAAGCTGAGCCCCTCCTCCATCTGTGCTGCCAGAATGCCCCACCGTGCAGCCCTTGTTTGCCATGGCTAGGTTAAAAGGAAAGAAGGGACCAGTGCAGTGGCACACACCTGTAATCTCAGCTACAGAGGAGGCGGAAGTAAGAGGATCATGGTCAGAGACCAGCCTAGGCAAAACCAGGAGAACTTATCTGAAAGTAACTAATGCAAAAAAGGGCTACAGCCATGGCTTCTGGCAAGCACAAGTCCCTGAGTTCAAACCCTAGTAATGTAAATAATTAATAATAATAATAATAAAGGTGGCATAGTTAGGAAAACTCTCAGATCTTCAGGGGCTTCTTTTGCCCATTTCTGATGACTATGTTTTCCCTTTGTCCTCTCAGGGAATGATTGGTCTTAGTAATTTATTCTTACAAAGTCTATTCCATGTGTACATGAATATCCCTCTCTATGGAGTACAGGTGATTGGGTGAGGGACGTAGATGTAGCAGATTACTGACATCTCCCACAACCTACTAGAAAGGTCCTTAGCTTCCAAATGAGGAAACACAATGCTAGTATTTATGGAGAATCTCCACCTGCTGATGCTGCGTCATTTCCAATCTGAAACTGAACATAGTGGGATGAACACAGTGGGATGAAGTATTTGATGGAGGTGGGCCGCGTGTATGGCTGGGTGTCCTTCCATCTACAGGCATATGACTGTGGGTAGGCAAGAGCAGAACACCGGCTGGGGTGGAGTGTATGCAAAGTGTTTACTGATGTATTTCCCACCATTCCTAGTACAAATTAGGAAGAAAGGGAAAAGAGGAGGGAGGGAGAAGTAGAAGGGAAGGGAAGGAAAGAGAGAGAAAGGAAGGATGGAAGGAAGAAAAGAAGGAAGGAAGGAAGGGAGAAAGAAAGCATGAAAAGAAGGAAGGAAGGAAAGGAGGGAGAGAGGAAGGGGAAAGGGAAAGAGAAAAGGAAGGGGAAAGAAAGGAAAGGAAAGATCTACATAAAATAGAAAAGAGTACTTGCTCTCTTTTTGGAGAAAAGCAGCGAAGAAGGAACCTGAAAAGCTCTCCCAGAACAGCACAATTGGAAGGACCTGTTTTGTTTGTTGTTTTTAATTGGCTTTTGTTTGTTTGTTGTTTTGGTATACTAGGTTTGAATTCAAGGCCTTTACTTGCTGGGCAGGTGCTCTACGCTTGAGTCATGCCTTCAGTGCAGGATGTGTGTTTTGACACATTGACTGAAAGGTGTGCGAGAGGGAGACTCTTCTGTCTGCTCTCTGGAGTGTCTTCTCAGTTGACTAAGAAAATAGACAGTGAAAGAAGCAAGCGTGTCTGTTTGCAGGCAACTCTAATCATTCAGGCTGCCTTTCATTTGTTTGCTGTTTATTTACTTGTAACGACAAAGTACTTGAGTGAGAAATCATTTCGTAGTGTGAGCTCAGCAAAGTAAGGGCTGGTATCAGTTGTAACGTTCAGCACACATTGGTCTCTTGTCATTTCTTTGTCTTGCTTTCTGGAAAGGAACAGCCCCCAGAGGGACTTTCTGCAAGGATGCATTAAAAAAAAAAAGACTTATACTAAGTGTTATTTCCACATTTGATACCTCCTTTCTTAACAAAAAGCACTTTGTTCAGTTCTGTAAGGTTCAGAAATTTGATGCTATCGTCTCAGAAATTATAGCCCCATTCTTAAATAGACGCATGGAGAACATTTTACAAAAGAAGTCTATGGGAAAATCCCCCATTGAACTTCCAAGTGCAGGTCTTTCCCTCTTAACTTGACAGAGAGGACCAAGCCTCTGCTTTGTTCTGTGTCAGGGTGAATTTTCACTGGAGTGAAAAAGTAATTATAGAAACCATAATGACTTTCCTTACAGCTGGGCTGATTTAGCAGCATGAAACTAGATGTTTAAGCCAACCTTCCCCACAGGATTCTATATACAGATTCACTAATCTCTCTGGCAGAAATGTATGTTTCTTCGGTTTATGGTTTTCAGACTAAGACCCAACCTGGCCTTGTAAGGGGCTATAAATCCATACACGTTTCTTAACACACACACACACACACACACACACATCATTTTCTTTACAAGTTATGTTCTCTTTTTTCCTTCCTTTACACTGACTATAGACATGCTTATTCTGGTAGATTCTGTCATCTGTGAAAAGAAACATTATCCTGAAACAAACACGCACAAGACACAAAGTGACAAGCACAAGAAAGGTGGAGGAGGCAACTTTAGGGCATCTTGCCAGGTTCTTTATTAGACTTGCCTAGGAATTTGTATGTATAAAAGACATTGGGCTGGGCACCGGTGGGCCTGTAATACTAGCTATTCAGGAGGCTGAGATCTGAGGATGGTGGTTCAAAGCCAGCCTGGGCAGGAAAAGTCCATGAGACTCTTATCTCCAATAAACCACCAGAAAACTGGAAGTGGCGCTGTGGCTCAAGTGGTAGAGCGCTCACTTTCAGCTGAAGAGTGGAGGGACAGCGCCCAGGCCCAGAGTCCAAGACCCCCCTCTCCCCAAAAAAATTGACCATTTCCTTCCTCCCTCCTTCCCTCTATCCCCTCCTGTCCTCCTGCCCTCCTGTCCTTCCTTCCTCCCTCCCTTCCTCCCTCCCTCCCTCCCTTCCTCCCTCCCTCCCTCCCTTCCTTCCTTCCTTCCTTCCTTCCTTCCTTCCTTGTACTGAGGCTTGAACTCAGGACCTCTCTCTTACTTGGATTTTTCTGCTCAAGGCTAGTGCTCTACCACTTGAGCCACAGTTCACCTCTAGCTTTTTGCTAATTAATTGGAGATAAGAGTTTCATGAACTTTTCTGCCTGGCCTTGTTTCAAACCAGGATGCTCAGCTCTGTAGCTATGTTTATAGTAACTATATTTATAGGTATGAGCCAATAGCACCCAGCTAGAAATGGAGAATTTTAAACACTTTACTTCCAATTCACATGCCTTAAACATGGGTGGGGATATGTGTTGCCTTTTAAGTCCTATGTATTGAGGCTTGCTCTGGGTGTAATTGGACTGAGGTAACACAGTGGTTTGTGCTTAAATCTCCTTAACTGCACATAAAACTTCATTGTGCCTCACTCTAGTGAATATTTCCAACAGCAAAATATCTGGTCTCTAAAATACCTGTAAACTTATATCTCTGTCAAGTGCACATGTCAGTTTTAGAATGTTTAGATACCAGTGTAGGAATATACCAACTCCACTGGTTCTTATACTTTAAAAGGTTACATATATGGTATATTAATTACGTCTCAACTTTTTTTTTTTGGTGGAGGAAAAGAAAAGCGTGTCTGGGTGTTAAGCCATAATAGGGTAGAAGCTTAGGAAAGAGAAGATTTTTATTTTGGTTTTTGGTGTTGGTACTTGGGCTTGAACTCAAGGCCTGGGTACTATCCTTTAGATTTATCACTCAGGGCAGGTGCTCTGTCACTTGAGCCACACTTTCACTTCCAGCTTTTTGCTGGCTAGTTAGAGATAAGAGTCTCACAGACTTCCCTGCTTGGGCTGGCTTCAAACCTAGGGTCCTCAGACCTCAGCCTCCTGAGTAGCTAGGATTATGGGTGTGAGCCACCAGCACTTGGAAAGGAAAGGTTTTTAAGGAACATTGTGTGTGTGTAAGTGGGGGTGGGGAGGGGGCCAGGAATCTAAGACTGGAACAGAGGATTCTGTGGAAAGCAGTGATTCCTTGTGTGGGTTATATGTTGGGTGGTTTAAATGAGTCAGAGCCATGTCCTGGAAGTGGAAGCGACCGTCCTCGTGGTCAGTCAGATGATCCTGGAGCCCAAGACCCGACAAAGGGCACTGGACAGCATCCCTAAGTGACTGCTTCACACCTTTGATGAAATTCCCCTAAAAAGTACCTTTCTGTGTGTGTCACACAGGCCAAGCGTGCACTTACATGACAAACACCTCTGCCACTTTCGTAATGGGTCAGAGCAATTGATAACCTTTGTCTTCTGCTCCATCTTCCTCTGTGACGGTGTTTTACTATGCTAGACCCTGAGAAGGGCCTCGTTTCCTTCCAGAAAAAATCCAAGGCCTCTCAGAACAAGGGAACAGTAGTGCATGGGGGAGAGGACTGTTGATTTCTCCTAAGTCATTCCTCCTAATTTCTACCGGACTCGTTACCCTGCTGTCCCTGTCACCCAGTGAGTTCACTGGAGCACCCAACACACGTTGTCAGGTGTCTAGAGAGAGTGGTCATCCGGCCCAGGATACCCACGTACAGCTCCAACGCAATTAGTTCCCGTCTCCTGGACCTCAGAGTCACTGTGTTTCTGACCCCACTTGTCCAGCCAGTAGGAGGCCAGGGAGCCCCAGCCCTAGCTCCCTACCCAGCATTTTGTGTCACTCACCAGCCCCCTTAGGGGACTGTCCCTGGCCTCCTGCTGGGGCCCAGGCTGTCTGCCTCCATGGTAACACCTGCCCAAGTGTGTGTGCACCAGTTACCTGTCAGCTCCCTGAGAGGAAGATCTGTTAGCTGGTGTGAGGACCGGGCAGCGAGCTTGACCTGTGGGTTGAGTACAGGATGGTCCATCAGCTACAAGCAAGTCTTCTGTTGCCTTGCCCCACTTCTGACATGAGCACCTGTCCACGGTCCTGTGGATTCTTGTTGTTTACTTTGATAGTGGTTTTTGTTGTTGTTGTTTTTGTTGCACTGAAAAGGCTGGGATGTGAAGCGAGTGCTCCTTCACCTCTCTGGTCATTATAGGGGTTGGGCATTTTGTTTGGTTTGGTTGATTTTACTGAGATGAGCATGTTGAAAGATTAATTTTTATATTAGACTCAGGCTGTTGGCCCAGCAAGGACACAGAACCCCATGATGCTTAAGCAATGTGTCTAGATTCCTTTAAAAAAGAAAGTTCTCTGCATGCCTAACATTTCAGAAGGTAAGCAATGTTAAACACCTTTTAAAGTGCCAAGGTAATTTGAAAGACCAAACTTGACATCCCCTGCTGGGATGATAAGAAGAGGCTTCATAAACTCCCTGCGCTTCTGTGACCACAGGGAGTCCACCATATTGGCTGCCATTTGACCCCAGAGAAAGGAGCCCACTTGGTGTGGGCTCATGTAAAGCAATTTTCAATTTTCTAAGGACAGTTTGCAAATTTCCATTCATCCACCCTATCTCTATGAACATTTTTTCTTGTTATTATAAAGGTGGTGTACAGAGGGGCTACAGTTGCATAAGTCAAGTTATGAACACATTTCCTTTTGGAAAATGTCACGCCTTCCCTCAATCTCTCTCCCAATTTTTCCCTCCTTTTGGAAAATGTCACGCCTTCCCTCAGTCTCTCTCCCAATTTTTCCCTCCCCTCCCACCCACAGGTTGTGTAGTTCAAGTTTAACACAGTGTCTAGTGCATACCACTGCTGCCTTTGCTCCCCCTTGGTCCCTCCATTTCTGTGTTCCCCCTAACTCTCCCAAAGACAGATAAACAAACAAGATGAAAAGAAAACAACAACAACAACAAAGAAAAACCCCTCTTGTTTCTATTTCCTGGAGTTCATTTCCATATAAAATATGTGTTTAAGTATATAAACAAATGTCCAGCCCAGGGCTAAAACGACAGATTGGGATTAGATATTCATAGGGTAAATGATCTAGAAGAGTGAAGTGGCATTTTTTTAAGATGACAGTGTGAGCAACTAATAGTATTTTCTTATGCTTATTAGAGGTGTACGTTGGTGGCTCGCTTTTTGCGTCATTCAGGTAAAGCACATGTGCATATCTGCCCCATGTCACTCCTCTTCACAGGTGACTTTGCAGGTCGCGCCTCCATGCAGCAGAGACAGGCAGTATGAGCTCCACGGGAGGTGCTGTAGCAGATGTGAACCAGGTATGTCCATCCCAGAACAGTCCAGAACAGTCCAGCACCTGCCAGTGGAGCAATGGAGGGTGCTTCCTCTGGCTGCTGCTGCTTTCTCCTCCCCTCCTCCTCCTCCTCCTCCTCCTCCTCCTCCTCCTCCTCCTCCTCCTCCTCCTCCTCCTCCTCCTCCTCCTCCTCCTCCTCCTCCTCCTCCTCTTCTTCTTCTTCTTCTTCTTCTTCTTCTTCTTCTTCTTCTTCTTCTCTTCTTCCTCTTCTTCTTCTTTTTATGGTCCTATAGGAAAGAAAGAAAGAGACAGAAAGAAAGAGAGAAAGAAAGAGAGAGAAAGAAAGAAAAAGAGAGAGAGAAAGGGGGAAGGAAGGTAAGAAGGAAGGAAGGGAAGGAAAATGGAAGGAAAGGAAGGAAGAAGTGAAAGGAAGGAAAGGAAGAGAGGGAAGGAGGGAGAGAAAGAGAGGAAGAAAAGAAGGAAGGAAGGAAGAAATTGGTTAGACCTTTCATAGTAGAGACAAGTAATAATGACTGACACGCAGAAGACAAAAATTGTTCCATCAATAGACAAAACCACCTAAAAATCAAAGGCAGTTTCAAAGGCCGGGTTTTCATTTGACACTGAGACAATATTTCACATAATACTAACTTAAGAGGGCATGGTTTTCAAACCTGTATTTTAGCCCCTTTATGATTCAAACTCTGGGAAAATGTGGAATGCAGCTCTTGCTGGCACAGAAATCTTGTTTGGGAATAACCACACTGGAATTGCCTGCGTTTTGCTAGGCCTTCTCCACCTACCTGCCGGGAGCCGCACCCTTGGCTGCCTCTTTCCCAGGGCTGTTCTGTTGCAGTGTGGCCAAGTCTTTCTAAGGCCACTGTCAGGGCCCCAGCCCACAGGGTCCCTGCTCTCCCTGTTCTAGTATAAGATAGGACACCTTATAACAAGAGCCTTTGGGAGTTGGGAATTGGTGGCTCACACCTTTCATCCTAGCTACTCAGGAGGCTGAGATCTGATGATAGTTCAAAGCCATCTCTGGCAGGAAAGTCTGTGACATTCTCATCTCTAACCACCAAAAAGCCAGAAGGGTGGCTCAGTGCCCTGGTCCTGAATTCAAGCCCCAGTACCACTCTTCCTACTCCCAAACCCTATGGGTGTTTCAGCTGCAGATATTTCTTGGATGTACAAAACCAAGCTCCAGTGATTGTCATGAACACACATGTATGTGACTTCCGAACTGTCCATGAGCCTGTAGGGCGGGTAGTGCTACTCATGTGTTTTTCCCTTGTGCCATACATACAAGCCATGCATTTTAGACCTGTTTTTATCACTGGTACAGTCTTTATTTGTGTTGTTGTGTTGGTTTTGATTGGTGCATTCTCCCCTCTTCCAATTTAAGGAAAGTACATGTCTTCTAAATGCACTACTACCTCTGACAGTGTATGTCTGCCCTGTGGCCCAGAGGAATATCTGGAGACCTGGAATGAAGAAGATAAATGCTTGCTGCATAAAGTTTGTGATACAGGTGAGTTAGGCATGTCAGCATGTGGGTGGGAAGAATGGAAAACAGAGGTCATCTTTTGTCCTGAAAATCTCCCATTCTGTAAATGTTTTCAGATACAAGTGTTATTTCTTTTAAAGAGTCCATAAAGGATTGTGACCGTAGTTTTAGGTCCTTGAAGCCCTGGGTTAAAATGCTCTTTTGGGGGGGGGAGAAGTTATTTTTCAGACAGGGTCTCATGCTTTTGTAGGGCTGGCCTTAGACTGTGATCCTCTTAATTATGCCTCCTGACTAGCTAAGATTACATGCACCAGAATGCCTCGTTTATTTGTGGAGATGAAATCTTCCTAATTTTTTGTCTTGACTGGCCACTAATCTTGATGTTTCTGATCTCTGCCTCCTAGGTAGCTAGGATTCTATGTATGTACCATTGGACCTGGCCGTAAAAAATTCCTTACTTAGAACTTCTTGTTCTACAATATGCTTATGCTGCAGTTTAATTACGAACACATCTTACAGTTGACACACATTCCTACAGTGCTGTGTCAATTGCTCCTCCCAGATCCCTGTAAGATAGTTGGACTTTTCCCATTTTCAAGATGGAGAGTTAGACTTGGGTTACATGACTTCTCCAAGGTTAACAGATGAGAGAAATAAGACTCAGAGCTACTCTTCTGATATGTAAAGCTTTTTCCTAAACTGTAAAAGTTTTACTAGCTTTACAGTTTGATCTTCTTACCAGATTGCCTTATTTTCTTGTGTTGTCTTCAATGTTTCTAAATTATAGTTTGTTGGTCTGATATGGCTGAACATTCCTGTAATCCCAGCATTCGGGAGGGTGAGGCAGGAAGATAGAGTTTAAAGCCAGCGTGGGCTACAGACAAGACTATCTCAAAAAGATTAAAAACAAAACCAACCAAACAAAAAGCGACTATAATTTCTTCTCACAAGTTCCTTTCTCTTTCTTTTTTTTCTTCTACTCTGTTTACATGTTGAAGACCCCACAATATTGCCCTTGTGGACTTGAGTGTGGGTTTGTCTGGTTGTATGTCTGGTTGTGGATGTATCAGCTAAATCTTGAACACATTCTTCTGCTGCCCTGTGGTTCCTCTAAGTAGAAAGCTGATCAGATTCTGGCTTGATTTGGTTTTGGTTAAAAACAACAACAACAACAACAACAAAACAACCCTCATGCATTGTATCATTCCTATATTTAGTGCAGTGTTGGAATTGCACAATAGCTGTGTAGCTCAATTTTTTTTATGTTTCTGGGGGCTGCGGCGGAAACTGGCTTATTCTATCTATTTTTATTGGGATATGTAGGATGTGAGATCTTCATCTCCCCACCCCCATTCTCTCCTCACTGATTTGCTGAGATGCTTCATATAGACAGACATCCCTCATACATGATTTGTTTCTCCTCACATGCAGTAGCACCTCTAGGAAAGATGCTCATAACGTCACCTGTGACTCCAAAATAATATCCTATTGATATCATGAACTCATAAGTTTAGATGAGTCTGGGGCATTTCAATCTGGTGAAGTTAGTGACCATTTGAGCACCAGGATGGGGGCCACTTCTTGCAGGTGGCCTAAGTCTTCTGATTCAACCCCAGGCATTTCGGAGGGCTCCTGGCTTCCAGATTTCCCCTAATCACTTTCCTCCTTTCCTCAAGGATCCCTTGCTGCTTTTAGCAGATCATTTTGTTCAGTGATTTCAGTTGAAGTAGTAGGGAGACTCATTGCTACTGGATTGATCTTCCATTGAAGGCTTTGCTTCCCGCCCTCCTTCCCTCCCCAACGCCCCCCACCCCACCTCCAATGGCAGAACTAAGAACTAAGTAGTTTGTTGTTGTTTTAACATTGTAATTTTCCCCCCACTTGGCAGAACTAAGAACTGAGTAATTTTTTTTAACATTGTAATTGTCTCTAATATGTTAGGGGCAGCTGGCAGATTTGGGGGCAGAAGGTAGCATGGAAACTCCACTGAGCAGAAGTATTTGATCAAGTCTTTATTTCCCATTGCTTAGTAATGACCTTGACTCATTCCTGTCTCTTGGAAATAAAGATTCATTCTGTCTGCTCCCAAATAAAACTAAATACACTAAAATATTTTAAAAGATGGCAAAACTATTCACCACCTTATATTCACTTACAGTTGAGTGGCATTACTGAACTTTCCAGAATATTTAGAATACTCCAGAAAAGTGGCATTTGTCCTTGTATGCCCCATGCCTTGGTCCTGTAGAGCTCACCCGGGGCGGGAAGAATGGGAACGGGAGGGTAGTGGGATTTCACCACCCTTGGCCCTGAAAAGGATAGGAAATGATGCCTCCCAGCTGGCGTGGCTGCAGCTTGAGACAATGAAGAAGCAGTTTCTGGTTAATGTGTCTCTTTTTTTTTTTTTTTTTTTTTTTTTGTTGGTCGTGGGGCTTGAACTCTGGGCCTGGGCGCTGGCCCTCAGCTCTTCAGCTCAAGGCGAGCGCTCTACCAATTGAGCTACAGCGCCACTTCCGGTTTTCTGGTGGTTTATTGGAGATAGGAGTCTCACGGTCTCTCCTGCCCGGGCTGGCTTTGAACCGCGATCCTCAGATCTCAGCCTCCTGAGTAGCTAGGATTACAGGCGTGAGCCACCAGCGCCCGGCTAATGTGTCTCTTTAAAGAAACAAATATACTGGTACAAGGACCACTGGGACAATCCAGATGAGCTGGGTTCCAGGTCAGTTTTAAACACGGTTAGGGTTTCGTTCTACGTGTGTGCACATACAGTTCATTCTCTTTATTCATTGACTGCGATAAATCAGCAAATTCAAGACCGCTGATCCTAAGGGCTAGGTTCCTGCAAGGCCCAGGTCAGGGCATTGTCACCAACCATCCACACCCATCTTGTTGCATGTGGGTTACTCTTTGCTTGATGTATGGTCGACTCCTTGACAACGAGCTCATGGCCAGGGCCGCGCAGCGCATGCAAAGTCATTCTCACACACGGGTTTTCTCTGTAAGGCACACAGCCGCCTTCTAGCAGCGGAACACCACCGAGCACTTTCACCGCGACCTTGGGGATCATCACCAACAAAAAGCAGTAAGGGAGGAAAACATGGCGCTGGCTAGACTGCGTGAGGGACAGTCACTTGGCTGTGAGGGCTGGAACGAGAAGGCAGAGGGGAAATCAGTGTGGAGCGGCTCAGGGTGACCCAGCGCTTGCAGAGCTCTGCGCGTGTGCACAGGAGATGGAGAGCACACCGAGGTCATTGACTTTAGGTGATGATGAAGTGTGAGTGAGCGCACTGATTCATAAATGTGAATGTGTGAATAGTTAGGGTTAACTGTGTGCGTGCATGCAAGTGTGCGTGCGCACGCGTTTGCACGCACAGTTCAGAACTGATTCCAGAAACACTGGCCAGAGCCAGGAGTGTGGAGGGAGAAGACGAAGCTGTGTTTTGATTAGAGTGAAGCGTCTGGGGGCAGAGCCTGATCCCCAAGCCGCCTTCGTGCTGCCTCTGTACTTTCCCCACGTAACCTAACCGCCCAGGCGCTCATGGGCTCTTTGTCTCCCACAGGCAAAGGCCTCGTGGCCCTGGACCCCGGCAACCGCACGGCCCCGCGGCGCTGCGTCTGCACGGCGGGGTACCACTGGAGCCAGGACTGCCAGTGCTGCCGGCGGAACACCGAGTGCGCGCCCGGCTCCGGCGCGAGGCCCTGTAAGCACGGTCACCGCCGCCCCGCGCCCGCCCCAGCAAGGCCACTTCCCAGCCCGTGTCACTGCCGCTCTGGGGAGCCAGGGGACACCTAGGAACTGTGGAGAGGAAGGGGGACCCCTGGGTTTCCCAAGAGACACAGGCTCAGGCCAGACCGGGGAATGAACCCCAGTCCAGAGGGCCCGGCCTCCTGTGCCCTGGGGGCCAGGGAAACGCCAAGAACCCTCTTAGGAACCCTCTTTTTCTTCTTAAAAAAATGATGCATCCTCTTACACACACACACATACACACACACACAATTGGGAACCTGTGCACATCAGGCATTGCTTTGACTCCTACTGTCTTTCTTCTAATGACAAATTTTAAACAGTTGCTTAGGATTTAGTTGCCAGAGAATTATAAATGAAGTAAACACTTTAAAACAGTCCAGGCTAACAAGTCCTGGTGGCTCACGCCTGTAATCCTACTTACTCAGGAGTCTGAGCTCTGAGAATCATGGTCTGAAGTCAGACCCAGCAGGAAAGTACATGAGATTCTTATCTCCAATTAGCCACAAAAAAGCCACAAGGGGAGCTGTGGCTCAAGTGGTAGAGTGCCAGCCTTGAGCAAAAAAGACAAAATGATCACAGGCGATGCCCAGGCCCTGAGTTCAAATCCCAGAACCAGCATGTGTACATGCACACACACACACCACACACACACACACACACACACACACAATCAATGAAATCTAAGCACCAGAGCAGTTTGATATTCACCGTTCTGTGCCTTCTGTATTGTATGGCCATGATCACACAGTGACAGGACATCAGAAGTTATTTTTATTATTTTTATTCTATATTTTATTATGTTATAGTCATTATTTTATATTTTTTGTGTGTGTGTTACAGTGAAGACTTGTACTCTACCACTTGAACCAAAGCTCTACTTCCAGGTTTTTGCTATGTAATTAGAGATGATCTCATGGGACTTACTGATCTGCATAGCTTTAAACTTGGATCTTTAGATCTCAGCCTCTTGAGTAGTTTGGCTTACAGGCTTGATCAACTAGTACCAAGCCTAAAGTTATTTACTTATTTATTTATTTGCAAAACCTGGTGCTTGAACTCAGGACCTGGGTGTGTCCTCTGTTACTGGTGCCACAGTTCCGCTCTGGCTTTTTGTTTTTTGGGGGTGGTTAATTAAAGATAAGTGTGTCACAGACTCTTTTTCTTTTTTAACCCAGGCTAGCTTCAAACCACAATCCTCAGATCTCAGGCTTCAAGTAGCTAGGACTAAAGGTGTGAGCCACTGGCACCTGGCTCATCTTCAGTTTTGTTGAAAGAAAAGAAATAGAGATTTTTGGATTTATACAAGTATCTCTCTCATTTCTTATTATCTTTAATAAGATAGTTGCACAAAGAGGTTTCAATTCACATTTCCATTCATGTGTGCCCTCACCTTGACCAGTGTCACCTTCCCATGAATTCTCTCTTCCCATCTGTCCCAACCCCCTCTGTCCCCTCGAGTTCCCTAGTTCCATTTCCCTGCATGTACAAGTATTTCTTAGAGTCATTTGCTTTCCCAATGTCTAGGAAGTATTACAAAGAAGATTTTTTTCTCCCAAGATGCAACAAATGATTATTGTTAACCTTTCACTTACAGGCACTTTAAGGCAAAATAGTTGGACAGAGTTGGGAGAATTCTAATATCATTCATTTCAGTTTATATAGAGGACAGTATCTATCTGTGAGTCTAAGAAATTAAGAATGTACTGCCTGACTTTAAGCAAGTAAATTTTAATTCCTGTTTTAAGACTATACTCATGAAAATAGACCACGGAAGTGCTAATAATTCCACAAGTACTTTGTGGTTTGGGCCTAGGCCAGTTGCCTGATTGTTATTTCACATAGCAGCCAGTATTCTTTATTGGACCTACCAAAGGTTTATGTGCCAGTTTCAGCAAGGAACAGTACTAGACATAGGGAACTAAGACAGCTCTTGGTGGGTTTTCTTTTAGTTTTTTTATTGTTGTTGTTGTTTGTCAGTTGTGGTACATGAACTCAGGGTCTGGCCTGGGCACTGTCCCTCAACCCTTTTGCTGAAGGCTAGTGCCCTATCACTTTGATACCCAGTGCCACTTCTGGTTTTGAGTGGTTAGCATGAGGTAGGAGTCCCATGGGGACTTTTCTGCCCAGGTTGGCTTTGAACTGTGATCCTCAGCTCTCAGCCTCCTAAGTAGCTAGGATTACAGGGGTGAGCCCCTAGTACCTGGCTTTTAGTTTAGTTTAGTTTTTTGTTTGTTTGTTTTTATGGAGCATATGAGAATGGAGTGAAGTTTACCAACCAGAATCAACTCCTGATTTGAGCACTATGGGTTAAGACAAAGGTCCATCCCACCACTCGGGTTTGTTAATAAAGTTTTATTGGAATGTGGTCACATCTATTTATTTTAAACATTGTCTAAAAGTGTTTTGCCTGAGATACTTAGTACATGGCTCTATATAGAAAAGTTGATACTAACCCTTGATTGGAGAGAAAGAGACCTAACAGGTTTTTGTGTTTTTTTTTTAATTGAGAAAACATTGTTGCCACTCCAATACTTGGAAATTAAGCTGACCAGAGACAATGTATTTCTCTTAAAGACAGTACTGGAATGCCCATTCTCAGAAAATGAAGGCTTTTGTAATTATAATAGCAGAAAGGAAAGGGTCAGATAGCAAAACCTAGTAACACAGGCCCCCAGACTAGGAAATAGCATGTTAATGCCCAGGTCAGTGACTCAAGACAGCAAAAGATTAAGCCGAGCTGTGGACATACCACACAGGCATTACTGACCTCACATGGAACCAGTTTGCTTGTTTTGGTTTTGTTTTGGCTCGAATTTAAAGCTGTCCCTTAGCTTGTCTGTTCAAGGCTAATGCTTTACCACTTGAGCCACAGCTCTGCATCCAGCTTTTTGCCTGAGATAACAGTTTCATGGACTTTTCTGCCAGGGCTGGCGTCAAACCTCAGATCTCAGCCTTTGGAGTAGCTAGGATTACAGGTGTGAGCCACCAGGGCCTGGCTACCAATTCGTTTCTGAACAGAGTTCTGTAGCTCATTGCAGGAATTAGAACTGCTTCCTAGGCTCAAGCCATTGACACAGGCTATGGAGCAAATATCAGGAAGAATGAGAAGCAGAGATGGGTGAGGCCTGGGAAACACCGTCCTGGCTGATCTCTAAGTGTTGTTTGCTTTCTGTTTGTCCTTTGTATCTGTCGGTGTTTGGACAGTGCAGCTCAACACGGACACGGTGTGTGAGCCCTGTCCCCTCGGCGAGTTCTCTGATACCTTTTCTTCCACGGGAAGATGCAAACCCTGGACCAAGTAAGTAACAATGAAGATGTCGAAAGAAGTCATTGCCTTTTAAATAGCCACACCTCCACTCTCACATCCGCCTGGGAACAGGCTGAGTCTTTCTAGTAGCTTCCTCTTGGATAAAGTCTGTCTACTCAGTCATGTGTGACAAGACCTTTGTGTCACTTCTTGGATTCAGTAGTCTATGACTTAGAGGTGTAGCTTCTATTTTCCCTTTTCTAACCATATTTAGTGGAAAACTACTTATGACATTTTTTTATTTGTATAGTGCTTGGGACAGAAGCCAGGATATCAAGTGTATGAAGTACCCCTTCTTTTATGTCATTTCTGGAAGTATCGGTGAATACTCAAATGGTAGAATGCCAGCCTTGAACAAAAAAGCCAAGCAGAAATGCAAGGCCTTGAATTCAAGCCTAAATACATACACATACCCCTAATTTATGACATTTCCTACCATTCATTTACCACACCCCTCAAACTTTCCATATCTGGGGGATACTCACAGGTGAGCACGTTTAGGGGGATGATCAAGGCAGGACCAGAGCATTCTCTGTAGAAAGGCTTTTCTTTTTCTTTCTTTTTTTTGGGGGGGGTCCGGTCATGGGCCCTGAACTCTGGGCCTGCGCGCTGTCCCTCAGCTCTTCAGCTCAAGGCTAGCGCTCTACCACTTGAGCCACAGCGCCACTTCCGGCTTTTTTCTTTTTGCTTATGTGGTGCTGAGGAATCGAACCCAGGGCCTCATTCATGCAAGGCAAGCACTCTACCACTGAGCCACCTTCCCAGCCCTGAAGTATTTTTGATGTTAGATTTTCAAGTTATGGATGTTAAAACTTTACATACTATGACTCACTTATATGAGCCTATTTAGAGTTGAATTCCTGGATCCTTTCACTATATAGTTATTATTAAATATAATGATTAATGTAATGGGTTTTTTAGTTCCAAATATGTTTTTTCTTTTGTTTGTTTATTTGATACTTGTATTTGGCCTAAAAGCCAATAAATTGGGTTCTATACTCTCACTGGCTTTTTCTGTTTAAGGCTGGCACTTTACCACTTGAATCACATCTCCACTTCCAAATTTTTGCTGGTTAACTGGCAATAAGTATTTCACAATCTTTCCTGCCTGAGCTGGCTTCAAACCATGATCCTCACATCTCAGCTTCCTGGGTAGCTAGTATTGGTACCTAGTTCCCAATATGTTCTATTAGGTATTATTTCCTGACTCATTCAACCCAAATTTTGTGTTGAAAAAATCATTTACCTCCAAAGGGCATCATCACCTAACTATGCTAACTAAAAGATTTAGAATCTTCCTTCTTGAACCTTATTCTCTTCCTGAGCACACTCTCTGTAGTTCTTAGAGTATTCTCTAGGAACCAATGTGATGGGCTCCCCATGGAAGGGCCTGGGAACCCAAATGTCCGAGATGCCCATAGACTCCCCTCTTGTAGGAATCTCCAGTAGAGCCTTGCCTTGGTTTGTGTTTTTCAACAAGAATCTTACATTTAATACTTAATATTTAAGACTTAAGTACTTTCCCTTCCACAGTTGTACCATCCTTGGAAAGACAGAAACACGACATGGAACAGAGAAATCAGACGTGGTTTGCAGCTCTCTGCCACCTGGATCACCACCGATGGGTATGACTAAGTAGTGCCTGTCCCAGGTGGTGAGCTTTCTGTTTCTCTCCAGAATTACAGGCTGTATCTTCAGGCTTTCATCTGGGCCTCTGCAAAAGTAGTCAGCTCAGTGTTATATACTCCTTAGTATTTTAATTCCATAATGCTGCTTATTCATTTAGTTTTTTTCTTATAGTGCTGGGGATTGAACTTAGTACCTCACAGATACTATGTTACTTGATAATTTTTTAAACTAGATTGGGAGTGACTAATACAATAACTAATAATATATTCATATTTTTAAAAAGCAAAGAGCCAGGTGTTGGTGGCTCATGCCTATAATCTTAGCTACTCAAGAGGCTGAGATCTGAGATCACGGTTCAAAAACCAGCCCAGGCAGGAAAGTGTGAAACTCTTATCTCCAATGAACCACCAGAAAACCAGTAGTGGGACTATGGCTCAAAGTAGAAGACACTAGCTTTAATGAGAGAAGCTTAGTAACAGTACCCTGAGTTCAAGCCCCATACTAACAAAAGAAAAAGAGAAAGAAAGAGAAGAAAGCTAGAGATCCTGGCCCTGGAGACTTGCATGGCTGTGGTTCTGTTCTTGTGGTTAGCAAAACCCTGGGGCCATGTTGGTTTTTGGACAGAGACATGAACAACAGCATCTTCTGCCTGCGGAGACTATCTACCTAGAGAGAGATGAGAGAGTTCTGGGGGCAACAGAGACAAAGTAGGATGGCTCTGAGGAATGTGGTTCGAGAAGTTTTAAGGTAGATAGTCCTGGGCTGACTTCACGTAAAGGGATGCTGACAAAGCAAGACTGGGCTAAGTTGTACAGTTCACACTCTACACTGTGAGTGCTCTCTGACAACCACACTGTCTAGGTAGAGGAGTTCCTGCTTCTGTTACCCAGACACACCCTGTATCCTTAATTTGGGGGCAGGATTTACAGTGTTGCTTTTTGTTTTAACTAGATCAAATGAAACAGTCTTTAATAGCCATCATTTTTTGCATTTGTCTCCAACATAGAACCCCAGTACTTACCTGGTTTGATTATTGTGCTGCTCTTCGTGTCTGTGGTGGTACTTGTTGCTGTCTTCTTTGGTGTTTACTATAGGAAGAAGGGGAAAGCACTCACAGGTACTGTGTCACAGTGGTGCTTCATAAGCAATCTTAAAGGAAATAGATACGTTTCTTGGTAAACATTTTGGAATACGAGTATGTTGTCAGCTGTCTAAGGGATCTGCCTTGAGGTGGCCACACTTTAAGGTAAAATGCCTTTTGTGTTTGATTGTTCTCTAGCAAAATAAATAATAAATAAAAATGAAAACCAAGCCAGCTGCCAGTGGTTCATGCCAGTAATCCTAACTACTCAGAAGGCTGAGATCTGAGAATTACATTTCCAAGTTAGTACATAAGAAAGTCTGGGAGACTTGGTTAATCTCCAATTAACCAGCAAATCACTGGAAATGGAGCTGTGGCTCAAATGGTAGAGTGCTATCCTTGAGGGTAAGAGCTAGGGGATAGTGCTCAGGCTGAGTTTAAACCTGAGGACCAGAACAACAACAACAACAACAAAAGCCATCAGTATGCCTATCTGTATATGGGCAAAAAAGAATATTCTAGCATTTGGGAAGCCAATATCTTATAAGCTGCAGGTTAAAGTTGTATGGCTTGTACAGCATCAGATATATAAGGAGTGCATTTATTCTAGAACATATCCACTGTTTAATGTACCTATTAAGGCAGAGATAAAAATTTCCAGATAAGCTGGGCGCTGGTGGCTCATGCCTGTAATCCTAGCTACTCAGGAGGCTGAGATCTGAGGATCGCGGTTCAAGCCGGCCCGGGCAGGAGAGACCGTGAGACTCTTATCTCCAATAAACCACCAGAAAACCAGAAGTGGCGCTGTAGCTCAAGTGGTAGAGCACTCGCCTTGAGCTGAAGAGCTGAGGGACAGCGCCCAGGCCCAGAGTTCAAGCCCCATGACCGATAAAAAAAAAAAAAAAATTCCAGATAAAGGGTGATGTAAAGGAGGTTTGGATTGGGGTGTTATTTTTAAATGTAAGTCTAAAATTATGAAATAAGCTATCTTATTTCCTATAGAATTTAGATCGAAAGAATCCCTCATTCTTAGAATTGACAATCAAGTGTTACTTTCTTGACAATATTTTTTCCCACAAAAACTGTTTGATAATGTCTTTATTACATTGTATTTAACTTTATGCTACAAAGCTCAAAGAAGTGTAATTTTTCTTCCTTATTCTTTTTTTGCGTGCTGGTACTGGGGCTTGAACTCAGGGCCTCAAGCACTTGCTCAGCTTTTTCACTCTACTGCCTGAGCCACACGTTCACATCCAGCTTTTTGCTGGCTGACTGGAGGTAAGAGTCTTGTGGATGTGTCTGCCCAGTCAGGGTTTCAACTGTGATTCTTAGATTTCGGCCTCCTGAGTAGCTAGAATTACAGGAGTGAGACACCCATACCTGCAAGAAGTATCTTTTTTAATGAATGGATTCAAGCCTCCATTGGGTTTGCTGGTGATACTTTATTTATTTACTTACCTGTTTCTTTGTTGTTGAAGGGATTGAATTTAGGGTGTGGCAGGTGGCCCAGCAAGGGCCCCAGCCACTGAGCACCAGGTGATTTTTATTGAAATGTTTTTTACTCACAGGAGCACTCACTGAGGTACTTGTAGCAGAATATTGAGCTGACATTGTTGCAAATAATACTAAGCGTGGCACTGAGAAAGTATCACTTGAGTTCATGTGAGAAATCAAAAAAGAGGTGAAAGACACATATACCGAGACAAAGAATTAGAGTGGTTAGCAGCTGCAGGAGGGAAGGAAATGGCGAGAAGTAGGTCAAAGGACACAAAGGCACAGACCTGCAGAATAAACAAGTATAGGGGAGGACTTTCACTAAATGGGTAGCTTTTAGTTCCTCCAGCTACAAGACATAGTAGATGCATTAATTTGTATGACTACAGTAACCATTTTACAACCTATATTTATCCAGTAGGATCAAGGTAAACATTCCAGCTGAAAGTTATTTTAAAAAGCAATAGGAAATCATACTATGAAGCCCTTCTCTTTGCTTTGTTTTTCTAGCTAATTTGTGGCACTGGGTCAATGATGCTTGCGGGGGCCTAAGTGGAAACAAGGTAAAGTTAAAAGTTTTTAATACCCTCTTTAAGTCCTTCCAACCATCAGGCAGATGGGACTATAATTAGTCAATTATTGAGCCTATTACTTAACAGTTACTTCCATGTACAATATCAAACCGGAAGCCCCAAGATTGAGCTCTGCAAAATAATGCGGGGCTCACGTCAATGCTTATGCTGTATTTACGTTATATATCTTCCTACTCCCAACTTTCCAGTGCTGGGGATTGAACCCAGGTTCTTGAGCATGCTAGCTAAGCACTCTACCACTGAGCCATAACACAGCCCCCAGGTTATTTCTCTCTTGTCTGTGTAGGTGTTTTGTTTGTTTGTTTGTGTGTATCATTGTAAGTGCCTAGTGTAGAGTCCTGGGGAGACTCATCTACAACTTCACACTGTAGTTATTTTATCACTTGGATTTAGACAGAACTTCAAAATTTTAGAAAAACGGTGAAAATATTACAATAAACTTTGATATTCCCCCAAATTGTTCAGGTTTTATCATACTGCTATATTCTTTGCTTTCTCTAACCTATATATGGGAACAAGAAAATACATGATTTAATTTTTTTTTCTTTTTGGCAGCATTTGACTTTGAACTCTGGTCCCGTGTGTGCTAGCTGAGATCATTTCCCACTGAGATATGCCTCTAGCCCTATTTTTGCTAGTTATTTTTGAGACAGGGTCTCACTTCCTCCCTGGGGTATAACTGACTCAGATCCACTCATGTTAGACTTCCCAGTAGCTAGCATAACAAAATAGGACATCCATATTGAGAAGACACCTCTCAGTTTTTCTTTTGTTCCCCTGTAATCTCAGCCTCCCAAGTCTATAGGCTCCTGGGTGCTGTCACCAGCAGCCAGGCATGAATGGAGCTGAGTGGAGATGGCATGTTCCTATTGCCTCCAATACCTTAATGGGTATTTCTTATGAATAAAGGTCTTCTTGTTTATAATGATATATATTTCTCAAAAGTACAAAGATAACATTTTTCTAGTCTATATGTAATACTAAAATTCCATTGATTATTCCATTTTGTCCTCTAGATCCATGCTCTTGCATATAAAAGCTTATCAGCCTTACACTGATTTCCTGAATTCCTGTCCCACCGCAGGGCAGGATTCCTTCTCCCCTTTCCCTTCCTCACTAGGCTCTTCCCTTCCTGAGCAAGCGCTGTGATCGTGAGAGCCTCTTATTCTCAGCATCTTTACTCCCGTGCTCAAGTCTGGAGTACACAGAAGTAGTTTCAGAATTACCCAGCCATACCGCATTCAAATAGAGCTACTGCCTACTGAAATTCAAAATTGGGTTGCATTTTTGTTATTGTTTTCATCTACTGAAACTGAGATTAGATCATCAAAGCACCTTGTTCAGATATTGTTGGGTTAAGGTCTTTGCTTGCTGAGGTGTGAGACTTTATTCCTTTGAAATGCAGTAGGAGTCGTTGGATTTTGTAGGCTCTTCTCACATTCTGTAATTTTACGTGTGTATGTATGTATGTATATATGTATGTATGTATGCATGCATGCATGTAAGTATGTATGCATGTAAGTATGTATTATGTATGTATGTATGTATGTATGTATGTATGTATGTATGTATGTATATATGTATGTATTTATGTCAGCCATGAAGTTTGAACTCATGGCCTAGGCACTGTCTCTGGCCTTCTTCTGCTCAAAGCTAGCGCTCTACCACTTTGAGCCACAGGGGCACCTTCGGTTTTTGAGTGTTTAATTGGAGACAGGAGTCTCGTGGACTTTCTTCCCCGGGCTGGCTTCAAACCGCCATCCTCAGATCTCAGCCTCCTGAGTAGCTGGGGTTACAGGCGTGAGCCCGGGGTGCAGGCTGCCCTGAGATGGTAAATCGCAGTTGAGGTGTCACTGGGATGGTTGCAGTTGGGGGGAAATGGATTCGAACCCGCGCGGTGTCCTGCAGCATTCCGTCTACTGAGTCTGGTCACCTGCGCCTGTGGCTTGGTCCCCGCAGGAAGCCTCGGGGGACAGTCGTCCGGGCGCGCACCCCACCGCCTCCAGCCAGCGCGACGCGTGCGAAGGCGTGCTACTGCTCACTCTGGAGCAGAAGATGGTTCTAGAAGAAGCATGCTCCCTGGACGGGGCCGGGGCCTGGGGGCACCCGTGTGCGGGAGGCCCAGCCCGCGCGCCGGGCGAAGATGCTGGCGTGTTCTCCTTGGTCAGCGAGGAGGAGATGGAGGGAGACACCTTCAGACAGATCCCCACGGAAGACGAGTACGTGGACCGGCCCCCACCGACCCCAGACTCCTCGCTGCACCCCAGCCCGCCGGGAAGCAAATCCACACCCCCTTTCTCAGAGCCCCTGGAGGTCGGGGAGAACGACCGGTTCAGCCAGTGCTTCCTGGGCACGGAGAGCCTGGGGGAGTCAGAGAGCTGCCTCTCCACAGGACCCCCGAGCCGGACCGACTGGATGCCGGGGTCCCCCGAAAAGGACCTTGGAAAACAAGTGGAGGGGAGCAGCGGCCCGCCCTGGGGGGACAGCTCGGAGGCGGCCGAGGCCGGGGAGGACGCCCAGCCCGCGGCGTGCTCCCCGAAATGTGGACCGTCCCCGCAGTGCGCCCAGGGCGTGGGTCTTCCTACTGAGGACGTGGCTGGAAGGGGAGAAGGGGGTGCCCGGCCCGAGGCCGGAGCGCAGGAAGGACTAGCCGGCTCAGCCAGGGGCGGCGCGGGGGCTGCCGGCGCCCCCGGGGACCATCCACCTGCATCTGGTAAGTTCTTCTCTAGCTCCCACTTTTGGGAAGGAGGAGGTGGGGAGCGCGTGCACCTGCACTGGGACTTGAACTCCGAGCCTCATGCTCCACCTGGCGCTTTCACTCAGGGCTGGTGTTCTGTCTTGTGAGCCACGCTTCCTCTTCCAGATTTTTGCTGGGTAACTGGAGATCAGAGTGTCTTGGACTTGTCTGCCCAGGCTGGTTTCGAACTGCGATCCTCAGACCCCCGCCTCCGGAGATGATAGCTAGGATTAGAGACACAAGCCCCCGGCACCTGACCTGAGGGTGTTCTTGGGATCTGCAGTTTGGGCAGAACGCACAGGCCTTGGTGTAGGCCGGTCGTATGCTTCTTGTGTTTTAGATCTTCACGTGGGTTCACGTGGGTTCGCGTGGAGCGGCGGGCTCCCGTGGCGGTGGAAGCCGTGTGTGTGTGTGTGTGTGTGTGTGTGTGTGTGTGTGTGTGTGTGTGTGTGTGTGTGTGTGTGTGTGTGTGTGTGTGTGTGTGTGTGTGAAGAGAAAGGATGTTAGTACGACCGCTTCCACTTCTGTTTGTTTTGAAGAAGAGGAGTATTACAGTATGACCCCATGTCTTCAGGTCTGGGGGGAGGTGGCACCACCCTCTTTGGAGGAAGGGAAGTAACAGCCAGACCAGGGGGAGTTGGGGTGTGTGCTCAGGTAGTGTGGCTGGTAGCCACTCTGGTGTGACCTCGCCTCGGATCCTGGGGCGTATTACTGCGCATGCGCATGTCCTGTGTCCTTCCGGGGTCAGGCTTTTCGTGGTCGGGTGAGACCTTGAACCCTAGCACTCACTGGTCCTTAAAAAATAAAGTCAACATGAACCTCGACCCTGACTGCAGGAAAGCTGTTCCTCTGACTTCTGATCTTGAAATTTTGTTTTAAGAGAAACTTAGGCCTTTTAAATCTCCCTCCTCCCCTCCCCCAAAAAAGCTCTTACAAATTTAAAGAAAACAAACAATACTATTTGGACGGTTCTTTATTAATATTTGAGTAGCATCTTGCTTCTGTACTAAATTAATGATGCAGTAAAGTGTCTTTGAATGCTTTATAGGCAAAGCCCCTTTTAGAACCACTATGCATAATGTGTTTATAGGACGAGGAGAATAATTTACAATTTGGCATTATTATAGGGATATATTACTACAATATTGCTTAAGTACAAACAACCCACCAATGATAATATTATGACTATTTTTCCTGAGGGTGAAACATTATTTGTTCTGTTATTGTAGTTATAACAGACTTTGCAATGGATGTGACGCTTTCCTCTGGCTCTGTGTAATGCTAGCCGTATCAGGGGTCAGAGGTCTCCTTGTCAATCTTTCTTTTCATCTATCTATCTATCTATCTATCTATCTATCTATCTATCTATCTATCTATCTATCTATCTATCTATCTATCTATCTATCTATCTATCTATCTATTGTTGGTTATGGGCCTGAACTCTGGGCCTGGGCACTGTCCCTCAGCTCTTCAGCTCAAGGTTAGCATCCTACCATGTGAGCCACAGCGCCACTTCTGGCTTTTTCTGTTTATGTGGTGCTGAGGAGTCGAACTCAGGGCCTCATGCATGCAAGGCAAGCGCTCTACCACTGAGCCACCTTCCAGCCCTCTCAAGAATCTTTTTTTTTTTTTCAGTCCAGTCGTGGGGCCTGAACTCTGGGCCTGAGCGCTGTCCCTCAGCTCTTCAGCTCAAGGCTAGCGCTCTCCTCTCGAGAATCTTAAAGCTATAGATACTCTCTCCAGAAAAATTAATACACGTATGCATACTGTTTAAGAGACTTCACAGAATCTTTCTTTCCTTATTTTTCTCTCTCTTTACATCTCCCCTTTCTCCTTCCCTCTTTACACACACACACACACACACACACACACATCCCATTTATGGGGTAGCCTCCAGAGTGTCTTTTTCTTTCCTGTCTCTGAATCTGTACAGCAAGTGGTGCTAGCAGCCATCTTCAAGCATCAGACCCCGGCCTGAAGCACAGAGGCTGTTAGGCATCAAGGGAAGGAGACTTCCTGGCTTATTTGCTTAATTTTCTCCAGCCTCTGAGATCTGATACAAACCCATGGATCCACCAGTGTACAAATTCTGTCCTATTCATTACTAGCCAAAGAGAAAGGAGATGAGGAGCTCTAGGGTAGCTTTTGCAGAACCACTATGGTTTCCTTCCTCAAGAGATTGGATTTTATTTTTAAGGTTCTAAGGGATTTCCATGCCTAAAAAAGAAAAAAGTCAGGCTCTGTTATTCATCTGCGTTGTTCTGCATCTCTTCTAGCAGAATCTTTTCTCCCCTCAGGTCTGGAGATAGGCAGCAAGCTGGGACTGAGGCTGTGGGAAATGAACGGGAAGGTTGCAGCGCAGCCTCCAGCAGCAGCTGGCTCTTCACAGCTCTGAGGGCCCAGTGGCTGACACCACTTTTGTGATGACACTAGGGAGATGGGATGGGCCACTGTGTAGAAAATGTAAGTGGTTCTTGGAAGAACACGGTTGGCCAGCTTTAAAAAAATATATAGTCACAGAACCAAAGGCCAAATTTCTGCTCTCCCATCAAAGAGTTAAAACAAGTGGCCTAGTCTGCTTTCCATTCTCTTTTGTTTCCCCAGCTTGCACAGTAAAGCACAGAGAAAAAGAATTCACCGTGTGTCACCAACTGAGTAGTGTTAATTTGCAAAAAGTTTACAAGGCTGTTTTTGGTCTTTGTCTGGTGCTTAGCCATGCAAAATATCTGTGAGCATCATCTGGGAGTGTCTGCCGGGAGCCCGCGCTAGCCAGAAAGCCAAATTCATTCTCGCCGGAGGGAATGCAGCGCCCAGATTGATTTTTGATGCTGCGCTACTCCCTTCACAATTCTTTCTTCTTGATCAGGCCTTATGGTTTCTGGTCAAATGAACACATTCTTATTCTCTAGAGTGTGCTAGGGAATGCTGCTTGAGTGTGAAGCAGGAGCCTAATCCCAGTTTAAAAAGTATATACCCTCAGGATCTGAGGGAGATGATCTTTTCCTGTTATCATCATCATCATCATCATCTTTTAACATATCATTTGGTTTGTTTAAACTTCTAAGTCAAGTAGTTTTTTAATGACAGCAAGATGAGACTTCTGCCTCCAATATCAATATCTTAGAAAGAATATCATCTACTACTTTGTGTTTTGCTTTTAGCTAAGTATTATAAAGTAGATATTAATTAGCCTCAGTGACCCTTAACCTTTATGTTAGAATTGATTTATAATTGGCTATTTGATAATAATACTCAGCACCTTTTGATAATAAAGACAAACACTCCTTGGCACTAAAAACTCATGCATTATTTCAAAATATATGAGCAATTTGTTTTCATTGTATTTTTTTTTTGGCTTAATTTAGTCTTACATTTCTTTTTTCTAAGCCAATGGTGCTCTTTTTGGAAGGGTCTGGTCCATTAGACTTTTTAAAGAATCATTCGTAAGCATGATTCAGGATGGAACTATTAAATACTTCTTTCCCTTATCATCGCATACCTCATTTCTTCCAAATGCCTGAAATGGAGCTTACATTTCCATAAAAAGGAAAGTCACATGGAAAGCATATGGGTTAAATATAAAATAAGTGTGGTGTTTTGTTTTGTTTTGCTTTAATTCCAGAAGAATCCCATGAAGCCTGGGCGAGATGAGTGTATTTGTGTATATTTTTAGTTCTGTTCCATGGAAGAAAAATCTACATGACAATTTGGTGGTATTATCTGGCATAGTTCTTGCCGTTTAATATTTATATGCTATGCACTTTTAACAACATAATATGTTTTTTGGGGAGAAGAAAAGTGTTTATTACCTTGCTTAGAAATGTAAATTCTGTCAGGGATTGTGTTCTTAGAGCTAAGCTCATTCTTTCTGCCTGAGAAAAACAGATTCTCTGGAGCCTGCTATGTACAGCAAGGATTTAGCCAAGTATAAACATCTTTCTGATTATATGGGACACATCATTTGTTCACTGTTTCTGTTGATTTAGACACTATTTTTAACACTCTCAAATGATCGGAGTTTTTTCCTACCTCAGTCATTAAATATTAATGGTAAGCCAACTAATCCATTTTAAATACTCAAATTGCTAATTTTATAAAAAATTTCCATGTCCTGGTTTTCACATCATAAATATAGGTAGCTCTCATACAGCATTCTCTCAATATATTGCATTCAGAGACTGAAAGATGATCCGGATACCCTGCAGCTTATAGTTTTATCAAGGAGATTGTAGATATTAGTTACCGGGCACTGCATGCTTAATGTGCATTATTTCCTTAGTTACTTGCAGAAACCCTATTGGCTAGGAACTCACATAGCTCAGGAATGACAATGCCATGATTCAAATATCTGGTAGTGAAGCAGGTGCCTTAAACCACCATGCCATCTCCTCTTAAATCCATGCCAGTGATGTTGATTTCATTTGATCACTGTGCCTTGGAGAGTCATTAATGCTCCATAGCATAAAGAGAATCGCTGCCTGGGGCCCTGGGCAGTTTCAGCTCAGTGAGGGGCAGCAGCCGGGCAGCAGCAGGCCAAAGCCAGGCCTAGACATTTCTGCAGAGGTGCAGCAAGCAATTGTTCTGTGGCCTACAATAGGCTTCTCTCTCTCTCTTTCTCTCTCTCTTTCTCTCTCTCTCTTCTCTCTCTCTCTCTCTCTCTCTCTCTCTCTCTCTCTCTCTCTCTCTCTCCCCCCCCCCCCCCGGAAGTTTCTTTGGTAGAAAACATGGAAAAAGCCCTTCCTACCACAAACCTCTGATGTCATCTTTTCTCCCCTTTTCCTCAAGTGAGTTAAGCTTAGAATAGATGCAAAGGGGGCAGACTTAAAGGAGAAAGCTGCCCTGAACGCAGCCTGGGAAAAGCAGCCAGGGTGGGCAGAAGCCCCCGCTTTATGTGTATGCTTGGAAGCTTCCAGAACTACTAGTACCCATAAACGACTCATGCCTTTCCTTATATAACGACTTCAGTGTGTAAAGCG